CATTACCTTTGTTTAGTATTTATATTTTTGATTTTTTCTAATGTTCAAAATTTCACAAATTTTCATTATTTTCTTACTTCTAGATAAAGAGCTTGAATCTTCATGAATCACTTGAAGGTAACAAAGATCTTTATTCTTTTGCATTTGGTCCAGATATTTATATTAATGTATATTCAGGGTGCATTGTTAAGAGAGTTAAGTTTCTAGTCAACTAACGTAACATTCGAATGGTAACCTAGAATAGTGGTGTATTAGTTCAAGATTCTCATAAAGATGAAAGTATTGATTTCTACAAGATTTTAACTAATGTTGTTGATTTGAGCTATATTGATAGAAATCATGTAATATTGTTCAAGTACAAATGGATTGATCTTGAGCATAAAATGCCCATTGTAATTGATGATGATTTCACATCTATAAATATAAGTAAAACTTAATATGATAATGATCCCTACGTATTAACAGGTAAAGTTACCCAAATATTTTACATTCAAGATACTAAGTTAAGAGGTGATTGGCATGTTGTACATAATATAAAGTGCAGCATAGGCATTTATTTTATCACACCCTTATGAATTAATTGAATGAATATCAACTTAACACTGATTAGCTAACTGAAACTATAACTTATCAACAAGATGAGTAAAATGATATGAATTTCCAAGATGAATTTGGTGAGATTGGTCCCTTACATAGAGAATATGTAGAGCAAAAAAATTTAGATTTTATACAAAATGTGCATGTAACCAACTCAGACTGTTGATTTTATATGTGATGAAGATGAACAAGAGGAATATGATGCAACATTAGTTGAATATTGTAGTGAAGTTGATGCTGATGTACATATCAATATATGTAGTGATAAAGACTAGGTTGTTCTTTATAACTTATATGTTTCATATATTATAATAACATGATATCATTGATTTTCAATAATGTATTTTGTTGTTGTTTTATTTTGTAGTTCATTAAGTCATAGCTCCAATAGATAAGCCCTCGAATAATTTCAAATTACTCACATTTGTTTGCACCATCAGCTAGTAATAATATGCAATCTACATTAAAAAATGATGCTTCACATGTCGTTTCTACTGCTAATAATGGTAAGTTGGTATTTTCTTGCTTATTTGTTTAAATCCCTTCTAATGTTTTTTGCTCTTATAAGCATAAATGCTATCTTTCGATAAATATAATTTCTTTTGTACATTAGAAGCTCTTACGCTTTACTGTTTGCATGCATCAATGGTAGGAGGTTTGTCTATAGGAGAAACATCTCGAATACCTGATAGCTTAGGTTTATCTCATCCATGAACACCAGAGAATGAGGAAACTATCATTGGTATTATTACTTATGGCTTATTCAAATTTAATAATTATGATAAATATAAATGACTTTCTTATGTAATATGGAAAAATTTAACCTTTTTTTTTTTCAGTTTCAAGTTCTAGAAAAAAATGTGTCCAAATAGAGGTGTAGCATTAAAAGAGCGTTATAGAACAAAAGTTAAGGTATCATTATTCATTCCAAAGGGCTAGAATAGGCTAGTTGGAGAGCACCACTCAAAGTTGTCTAGAGAGGCGGGTATCATAATTAGAAACTTTGCATCCATGCAAGTTGAAAGATGGGATCAAGTTAGTGATACCGATAAAGTCATACTTTTAAAAATTTGATGGTAAGAACTTTAATGATGATTTTAGTTATTTGTGAATCTAAAATTCAATTACATTTATTTGCAAGATTATATATATATATATATATATATATATGGAAAGGGTTGAGTTTGAGTGCCAAAGTTTAACTTTGATGTTGAAGGAATTCGAATTCAGGATCTCAATAAACTTTCAAGATCTTTATCAATTAAATTTACTAGAATTTGCTTTATTTAATGAACATTGCTTGAGCATTAGTATCATTCATTTTTTAAGAAGCTTTGCTAGCATACTCACTATTCCTCACTTTGTGGTGAAGCTCTTCTCAAATTCCTTGAACCTTCCCATGTGATTTGAACTTTGAATCTTTAAAACCTTAAGCTGCTTACACTGCATTATGCTTTTAATTTATGCAACTTCTCCATTTATTTTGGGGCTATCAAATGCTACATATATTTTAAAGACGTTTACTTCATTAAGCATTTGTACTAGCCTTACATTTATTTTTGAATTTAGCACTTTTTCCTTAGAAAAAGATTGACTTTAGCATCCTCCTGTTTCTCTTATAGGTTTTACCAAAACCTCCTGTAGAAAGCTATCTAACTTTTGTATGATCCTCTACTAATTTTCTCAACATATATTTTTATGTGTTTGTTTTTGAGAATAATTAACTTGTATTAGCTTTTGGCAAATTTAGAAGCAATATAATAGGCATGGTTGCATTAGTTGGCATATTTAGGATTCATCTCAATTTTCATACATAATTTTACTTGGTCAATATTTAGATTATCATAAGATTGAATTTTGTGTGTTTTTATTTCATCAAAAGTGATAACTTCTTGGCAATTTTAAACTTTGTTGAACTAAGAATTGATTTTACTTATTTGTTTTTGTGTGAACATTAGGAGAACTCACTATACCCTAAAATTCTGTAATTGTTGGAATATCAGAGCATAATATCAAAGTCTAAAAGTATTGCAATATATAAATAGAAATTAGGGAGATTTACCAAGAATTTATGTTTTATATTTTCTCTAAGTTGCATGACATAATAAAATAGTAGAATGATGCAAAATGATGTATCAGTTCACAACACTTTGTTATGGAAACTAAGTATTCTTTTAGAAAGAAAAATGTTTCATCTTTTTATGCTTTTATAATGTTTTCTCCGTCGTTCCATCTAATCTTTCTAGTTTTCATTATTTGCCACAATGAAGTTATAGTTTGAATGATACATAGTAAATGCTATTCTAATTAAGTTGATTTAATTTTATTACTGCTATAATTAACACGCCCATTCTTTATTCTTGATTTTGTTCATATATACTTTCCCAAAATGATGTTAACATTCTTGAGCCTTTTTTAAAAAAAAATTTATCTGAAAGTGCTAGCAAATATTGTAGCCATTTAGAAGGATTATTAATTCCACCCAGGATAGTTGGTATAGAGCCAACAATTTTTATTTTTTTGGTATCATTCTGATGTAGAATGTTTATCTTAAATAGTTATACAAAATTAAATTCACAACTATGATTTTTTTTTTAAATTTTTTTTTTTATGGACATTATGAGTCTCCACCAAGCTTTATTTGGTTCCTTGAGACAAATATTTTTCTAGTTTAAATCATGCATCAATGCCTCTTGCCATTCAATATTTTACTTGACATTTTGTCTAAAATATATGGAAGAAATGCTCGTTCATTTTTTTTAAAAATTTTTTGTAATATGATTGCATGCAAAAAAAATGTAGGTAAAGATTAATATATCCATTGAAGAATCACATGAAAAGGATTGTGTGATGCACACGATGAGCAAGATATTTTCTAATTTTTGTTCGATGGCCTATATACATTATAAAAAACTTGTAGGTGGAGCGTTAGACATAAAGAAATCTTATAAAGAGCTTATTGAGAGAACAAATGATTTGATTTGGTTGAAAATAAATTCATCTACAGTCGCACTAAATGCATAGAAGTCCAATCAAAAGGGGAATTTCCTTTACAAATTCTACTAATTCAGTTCAAATTCACATTAGAATTGTAACAATTTAATTTAATTTTTTTAATATTGTAAACCTGTACAATTTTATAGTAGTTTCCATTGGTAAGAATACCAACTTCAACACCTCTAATCACTTTTCATTGACTACATGCGCATGCACTAAGGAGCCAAAAGTTCAAATTAATCTTGAACTTCATGCTTTATATATTAAAAAGTTTTACTACTCACATTGATGATTGTGAGTGATTACGTACACGATACACCCTCTCATCAACTCAACAAACAATCCTCATTTCCTGGGTTTCGGCAAATTATTAGGTCCGGTCACCTAACAAAGAGATACATTCGGATTTCTCTCTGTCTAGAATAAAAGCGCAAGTCAAAACACAGTCAAAGCATAGCTGCTACAATAACTGCGCTTTGACTGTGCTTTTATTGTAGACAAAGAGAAATCCGAATGTATCTCTCTGTCAAGTGACCGGATCTAATAATTTACCGTTTCTTCGATATATGAAAATATAATTTTTGACAAACCGTATATTATTCGACATAAAATGTCTATAAATTAAATTTAAATCATAATTATGTGATATCTAAAAAGAATGTGCCCCTCTTGATGAATTCATGTTGCATTCTGATGCATAATCAAATCCCTCTTTGGAAGGAATTTTATTAATGCACATAATCAACTGATGGCAACACCTAACCCTAGAGTTTAAGCTTGCCGAAATTACAAGGGGAAGAAGCGAATTATAAGGCTATCACTTCAATGGGGGAAAATAGTTAGGAGGCCCATATGGAGCATAACAAATCTGAATCAAAATTTAGCCGATCCCACCACTCAGCAATTTAAGACGGTTGAAGTTTATGGATACAAATAATCTCTGTTTCATATCATATTTCATTTACATTTTGTCCATCAAAACTATATCCAAAATAGTCAACAGAGTAAATATCACCTAAATAATTTTTTATTTATTATTAAATCTAGTAATTAAATTTTTCTTTCACCAAGCCAAACATCTCCCTTCAAATTGTATGTTGCTGAACATCACTCTAAACTTCAGCTGTCAATCCATTTCACTTATTTTTTCCATCAAAATATAGAGAAATTATTTTGGGCCAAGTCTGGATGAAAAGAACCGTTCGAATATATGAATATACACACTGTGTACATATTTACATATAATGTGTATCAAATTAATGTAAACACAATGTGTACACTCACAATTCGGACGATTCTTCTTGTCCAAATTCCACACAAAATAATTTCTCCAAAATATGGGAACTAAAAGCAACAGAAATTTTCACTGCTGTCGTGGCGGAAAACTGCTGAGAGAGACAGCAGAGTAGACAACTAAGAATCAAAAGGTTTCCCATATGGCATTATTGTTTTACAAAAAGAATCAATATAAAAGCTGGAAGAATTTTTCAGACTTGGCAAATTCACTATGGAACAATGGATGCTACAGATGCTCCAGGTTTCGTTCTGAGGCCTTACACATACACCCTGGAGACCTTGGCAGCCTGTAGATGCTGCGGCCTCTTGGCCTCACCTGCACTCTCTGATTTTCTTCAATCATCTTCCTCACTCTCTCTTCGAAATCAATCCACCCTAACGTACCATTTTGGGACAAAATTTTGGCAAAACGCTTCTTGTTTGGCCGTAATGTTGGGGCTCGACCCCTTCCATGATATGTTCGGAAGCCAGTTACAAGGGATGAGAGCTGGCTACCTGAATCAGTCATGGCGAATACATCAGCAGTGGCACATGCAATGAAGTCAAGAGCTGCCAGCTGCGTTAACAATAGAATTGTAAGACAAATTTATGGAAAGAATTGCAAGAAGTAGAGTTAATTTCATATATCATCTATACTAGTAGTGGAAAAGTTATGTCGATTCATTAAAATTTGAAATAGGAAATGAATATTAATTTTCAAATGATCTCAAAGATCTGTTTGAGATAGAACTTCAAGTCAACACAGCTAAATTTCTCACAGGATTAAATGTATAAATCATACAAGCCAAGTTCAACAAGGTCGACACTCCGTTAAATCTTTTTTTTTTTTTTTAATTCGGGTAAAACTGTCCCACCTTAAGAATTTTCATATTGAGAAATGGTCTACTCACCCAAATTTTACTTCAGGTTAACAAGAAAATGTGCATTTCAATGCAAAATGTACTCATCATTCCAATTCGTAGAGTTGATTTGGTAGTGAAATTTTTTGAGTTAAACATTAATACTTCATGTTGCCGAACTTTTCTTCTCCCCGTTTATCAAAAAGACTAAAAATATCCGTTTTTAATGTTTCAGAACTTTTTCCTTTTCCCCACTTTCCAGAAAGGACACGGCCAAAATATCTGTTTGCATGTTTAAAACAATAATAGCGATCCTAACGCTGCCTCTGCTTCCAGCATTTTCAACTATAACTATTGTTAAATTGAGAGGAAGGAGAGGGAAAAGCTTGAATTTTATTAAGCAATCTACTCCCTATTTATAGATCTATACAAGGTGTATCAATAAGGAAACAAATAACTCTCATAATAACATGAATACAATTATTCCTAAATCAATGGGAGGAATTAATGCAATCCATTTAGTCTTCCCACGGATTACTGTTCACAGCCGTGGATATCTTTGGGATCGTAAGGTTGAGATTTAACAACTATATTAAAACATAAGAAAGTCTATAACACATCATCTGCATATAAACTCTAGTCCAAGTTTAGTTCATGTCAAACATACCTGAGAAGAGAAGTTTCTGAAGGGAGCAAGTTCACTAGGTGTCAGAAAATCCTCCTTTGTAACTAAGTTTGGGTAGAGTGAGGTGAATGGAAGCATTCTTGATCTACCTCCATATACATCCGATCCAGCTAGATATATATAAGTTCTCTGTTTGAAGCCAAGAGCAGAAAGCATCAGTGCTGCTTCTTCTGGTGTCAGTGGGCACCTTCCTAACTTCCTCAGTTCAGCTGGGGAGAAGGATCTGTAGGAGACAAAATTGTGACTAAATAAACGTTGGCACAGCCTGCAAATGGAACAATTAAAACAATCATAGCTCACGCATTCTCTTTCATCCGCATGACAAGTGTAGGAAAATGAATCTCCCTGTATGCTTGCAATTCCCTTCTTTCCTTCTCTCCTCCGCCAAAATCACATACAGAGTATGCCACCATATCCATTTCAAACCTCATGTGTAAAGCAAGATATTTGAGAGGTTTTCCAGATCTGTTATTCCCAACCAGCAAGCTGCTGGGCATGTGATTTCCAAGTAGTTGTTTGTCCAATTCAGAAACCCTATAATTATATTTTCGAATCCGTTTCAAAAGCAAGGAACCAATCTCTTGAATTCTTGGGACAAATTTGAATGCATGGAAATTGCATTTGCATCTTAATTTCTGCAAAAGAAAGTTTCAGATGACGTTAAGAAAATTAACCATGTCATTTTGTCCAACAACCTCTGCTTTCATTTAAGAAAACAAGGCTGTGAGTTTTCAAGAATAAACATACACCTGGAGATTGGCTGGTAATGGATCAAATGCAAGCCGATTGCCAAATCCAAGAAAGTGAACAACACCATTTCGCAACAGAAGAGGACGTATAACTTTGGAGAAATAAAGAGGTTTTGATTCTTTCCTGATGTCCATATCACTTACCTGCATAAACAAGAAAATTAATAAGAAAAGAAATCACATAGAAGATATGCATGCCTTATGAAAATCAAGAAGAAAAAAAAAAAAAAAAACCATGCCCGATGGTAAACCAACCTGGCTGCCTATTGATTCCAGATCCAATGATTGAAGATGAAAAGGCAGCTCTTTTATGATTCTCAGATCATCCTTCAACAAACTTATGAAATAATCTTCTTGATATATATCACCAAACTGGCTGCAAATCATGTAAATTTTTTTTATTAAAGCATAAGGCAAAAAATGCAATAAGGTAAAACGGAACGGGACAGTGGCAAAAAATATGATGTGATTCAGTTCAACTGCAATTTAAGTGACTTTTTTCATCATCAACATTAGCTTCCACAGTATTTGGGAGCAACATTATGTATCATGTCCTACATCTGTTTCAAGCATTAAATTTAGTTTGTAAAATCTTTTTACACTTCAATCAACATTAATTTGGCCCATCTTCTTTTCTTCCTATAATATAAAAGTTCATCATATCAAACTAATTTATTAGTGTATCTTCTTCGATAAAATAAAAAAGTGAATTGAAAAGGTGATCGCTTATTAGAATTACAATAAATTAAAAAAACTAGTGGCCACAACATTTCAAAAAATAAGTAAAAGAAATAACTATGAAACATGAACACTATCAAGTGGCTTCCATGTTCATGTAGGACATGTGATAAATACAGACATAGCTTCTTGTGTTGTGAAATCCAATAGATGAAGCGGAAGGCCCCAAGTAATCTATCATTGCCAAATCCATGTCTCTGCCCTAGCTAAGTGCATATCATTAAAATAATAAATAAAAAAAATTTATAACTGTTCTAAAATTCTGTTTAACTCATTCTAGGCATTATTTTGGTTTTACAATGTTACTTGAATGAGACCGTGATATTACCAAGATTTTTTTTTGCTCCATTTATTTACCTTTTAAGCTTTTTAAAATTATTTATGATTATATGAAAATATATAGACTCTATATATATTTTAAATTGTTTTAATATTTAATAAGATAATGACCTCTGAGATAAGCACTAAATTGATTTGTAATAATCTTGTAGATGATGAGACAAAATCTTTATAGGTATATGTTACCAAATTAGACTAAGTAGGATTGATTGGAGCAGAATGCAATGTCAAATATCAATGTCATATTTGCCATGAAAAATTTAAGAGAACACATATTATAGGATTGCAGCTCACATGCTCAGACAACCAAGGGCAGGAATTCTATCACGCCTCAAAATAACATCCACACAAATTTGGTAAGTAGAAATGTTTAAAGCTAAATCTGGGTAAACAAAATGTTATATGTCAGAAGGTTCCACTTCCTCTTCTGGGCAAAGTGATGCTAACCAATACTATAGCTTGCAGCAGTTAAGTGGATTTTTATTTAGAATTGAAAGCCATGACACAAAAAAATGAAAGAGTTGAGTTCTATTGTTATTGAAAAAGCATTCAGTTTACAAGTTAGAAATCATTTGCATGAATAAATTTCTAGGATATTTTATTTAGCAGAACTTCCATTTCATTTGGCAAGAATCGCTATTATATTATTGCTGTCTCACATTTAGCCAGCAACACAATTAGTAGATATACTCTTTCCTGTTTATAACCTTCTGAGAACAACTTTGCTTCAAAGGGAAAGAGAAAATGTTGAAAGAATGCTTAAACCTAAAAAGGAGACTTTGAATGAGAAGTAAGCTACCACAGTTTGTGATGGTTGGATGGATGTGCAAGGAAGGCCTCTTGTTAATTTCACGCGCTTCACAGAATTTGGGCTTATATTTATAAAGATCATCTGCTATGAAGGAGCATTTAAGGTTAAATTATATACTGCGAATCAAATCAAAGAAGTGATTATAGGGGTGGGCATAGAAAAGTTATTCAACTAATCACATACAATGCGCATGTGTGTAGAGCTACAATACACTGATTGGGGCTCAATACCCTCAAATTCTTGGGACTACTTATGTTGCTCACATATGGAATCTTGCATTGAAGAATATTTATGCTCCAAAGAATATAAAGGTAATAAGATCACTTTGAAAAATGCAATTAGATTGCTAACATTATAGGAGATGCCAACTTCATAAAATCATTCATCATGAATCACTCAATGAGAATGTCAATTTTAATTTGTGAAATTGAAAAAGTTGGCTATAGCAAAGAATTAGTTTGCATCAACAATAGTCATGATTAGCAATTCTAAATAATAAAGGCCAATTTATAAAAAGGAGCAGATTGTAAGTTTAAATTAGCATAAGGAGTGTATTAGAGAAAAAATTTAAAAAGGAGCAAATACGGATTTTAATTATCCGGTTTCTTTTGAAACCGGAACTTCATTATCCAGTTTCTGAACTTCATTATCCGGTTTCAATAGAAACCCACGTTTTCTATAAAAAAAAAAAAAAAAATTTCAATTAAACCGGTTTTATGTTAACCGCTTTCTTAATAAATTTTTTTTCCATTAATTCAATTCCAGGTTTCAAAACTAATACTAAATATTTATATTCACTTATTTAATATTTAATTTATTAGATTATTTTAAAATAATTATTTATATTTATTTATTAAAAATAAATACATGTATATATTTAATTTTGATTAAAATATATGGTTTCAACATTTAATTTTTTTATTTTTAAATAAACCAATAGTTTTTAATTGGAAACAATTTAAATAAAAAAAGAAAATTTAATAAATATAAAATAAATTTTAAAATTTAAAAATAATATATGTAATCCAAATTATGGTATGAACCTTCAAATTGCGTCTCGGGTCTTTGATTTGGACTCATTTGAGCTCGGATTGAGTCAAATTTGGTGTCGTTGTGTTCCTATTTTCTAGACGTTCAGTTCGACTATAAATTTGCTGAAATCAAAGTTCAGATGGTCTCCGATTTAATTTTTTGAAGATATATCAAATATAAATATTTTAATAAACATTTTATTTTAATTTATTTTTCTAAAAATTTTAAGAAATCTAATATTATGGAATTTTTATTTTAATTTCATAAATTTATGAGAAGAAGTAAAATAAAACTTAAATAGATTATTTTTAATTTTTAAATTTATTTTATATTCATTAAATTTTCTTTTTTTTATTTAAATTGTTTCAAATTAAAAACTATTGGTCTATTTAAAAATAAAAAAATTAAATGTTAAAACCGGATATTTTAATCAAAATTAAATATATACATGTATTTATTTTTAATAAATAAATATAAATAATTATTTTAAAATAATCTAATGATTGAAATATTAAATAAATAAATATAAATATTTAGTATTAGTTGTGAAACCTGAAATGGAATTAAAAGAAAATTTTTTTATTAAGAAACTGCGTTAACATAAAACTGGTTTCTATGAAAAGTTTTTTTTTTTTCTTTAGAAAACGTGGAATGAAATTCCGATTTCAATAGAAATCAGAAACCGGATAATGAAATTCCAGTTTCAAAAGAAACCGGATAATTAAAATCCGTAATTGCTCCTTTTTAAATTTTTTCTCTGATATGCTCCTTAAGATAATTTAAACTTAAAATCTGCTCCTTTTTATAAATTGGCCAATAATAAAATAAGGACTATACACAATATTGATTAGTGATAGGTGGAGCATACATTTGTAAAGGAAAAAAGCTTGGATGATCTGTAGCGGACAAAGTATATTACATTGCTTTACAAAGCAAATATATGGCATTTTAAGAGTTGCTGCTATGGATAAGCATTGTCTCCACCTTGTGTACATATGGGATTCTATAATAGGGAAGGTGAAGGGGATCATTTATTGATATGAGGAAAATAAAGACATTGAAGACTTCACCTTTTTTATAAGGTTAAACATGAAATTTTGTACAATAATGGAATGAAAGCAACACTCCCCTTCGTTAATTAGCCACTCTCTGAATCCAAAGTAAATTAATTTCAAAGTACTTTTAGTTTATCCCATTTACTTATTAGTAACGTCACCTATTAGATGCATTCTTTTATCAGATATTCCAACAATTTTTAGCTAAGTGAAGCTCTAAATTCTATTGCACCAGTGAAAGATACAGATATCAAATGATATTAATAAATGCCCGAAGATAAATTTTCCAAATATTAAAAGTAGTTCATGGTTAATTTGAAGTTTGCCGATTTCTAATTTAGTGTTACTTTTACAGATTATGACTCTATAACTTCTTGAGGCACTATGAATGAAAAGGATTGATGAATGATTTATAGAGCAAATTTCCCATTACTGTAAAATTTAACTTTTAAATTGTTAACTCAACCATGTTAATGTTTTTTATGCAGAAGTTAAATTACATAATCTTTTATCAATTCACTTAAGAGAATAATATCACATTTCAATGGGAAAAAGATTTATCATTTGTACATACCAATCTTCATCTTCAATACAGGAGCCTAGAATATGCTCAATGAGGGATTAAGTTGTGGGATATTAGTATAGATACATTAACAACATTGGATATTAGAATACTTAAAGTTGTGAATCTCTCTCTTCATGAACCATTTTTTAAAAACTGTTTTCCTCCTAGATCAATGTGAAGGTGTCATTAAAGAGGACGTGGGGGCCAGTGGTAATGACTGAAGAGATATTCGGATAATTCTTTTATTCATGTGTGAGATTACAAGATTAGTATTTATAGACATTTTACAGAACTATCTAGAAATCCAAGAAGTGAGCTGGCATTCGTTTGTTATAACTGTCGCTGAGCTGTCCTTCCAGCTAGTTGAGGTGAACTGTTTTCAGCCAGTATTTCTGTTACTGTCTTTACCCCCCCCCCCCCCCCCCCCCCCCCCCCCCCCCCCCCCCCTCAAGGTGGCGGTTCTGCTTGAACTGTCAGCTTGCTCTTTAGCTGCTTGAAACGATTTGTAGACAGAGGTTTGGTTAGTATATCTGTTGTTTGGTCTTGAGTTGTAACCGGGACTATACAGATATTCTGAAACTGAATATGATCCCTGATAAAATGTTGATCAATTTCAATATGCTTTATCCTTGCATGGAATAAAGGGGTATTTGCTAGTGCTATTGCTGATGTATTATCACACCTTATTTCAGTTGGTGTGGTGAGTTCTATATTGAAATCTCTGAGCAGTTTTCTTATCCAAATAACTTCTGTTGTTGCCGTAGCCAGTGCCCTATATTCCTCCTCTGTTGAAGACCTGGCCACTGTGTGTTGTTTCTTTACATACCATAAGAGAA